TTCAAACAGACACCACCATGGCCATGGTTGGCAATAACCACATCAATTGGAATCCTTGTTATTGCACTCCTTGTTGGACATATTTTTCATGCCACTGTGAATCGAATTGCAAAAGTGGAGGATGATTACCATGAGATGATGGAGCTTAAAAAACGAGCCGAGGCAGCTGATGTTGCAAAATCCCAGGTACGCAAAATGTGGTTTTTCTAGTTGCTATATAACTTGTTATTCAGGCTTAAATTTTATACTGATCATGTGAAGTTAATCAATTATTAAACTGCAGTTCCTTGCTACTGTTTCCCATGAGATCAGAACACCAATGAATGGTGTGTTAGGTGAGTAGTAAACTCAATCTTGCTTTATTCCTGTGGTATAATGTACAGTATACTGTATAATGTTCAGCAATACACACCACAAAATGAAAATGGAAATGTTTCCTGTACATATGTGCACGACAACTTTTGTAAAACCGAGTTTGATAATGCAAAGTACCAGTATTTTGTGTTGTAAAAAGAAAAATTGTCAACTTTCTCCATACGAATTCCAGTGCTCAAACAAAAATCTTCTTAAGCCATGACCTTGCTTTAAAATTGGATTTTCAGGTATGATGAACATGCTTATGGACACAGATCTAGATGTAACACAACAGGAATATGTTAGAACGGCACAGGGAAGTGGAAAAGCGTTGGTGTCAATTATAAATGAGGTTTTGGACCAGGCAAAGATTGAATCTGGCAAGCTAGAGCTCGAGGCAGTGTTGTTTGATATAAGAGCAATTTTGGATGATGTGTTGTCACTATTTTCTGAGAAGTCTCAAGCAAAAGGAATAGAGGTATATATATATATATCTGAACTTCTGATGCCTCTTTATCATGATGGACTTTTCAAAATGTGCATTTTTCTAATAATAACTTGATGATTCATTTGGGGAACACAGTTGGCAGTTTATGTGTCAGATCGAGTTCCTGAACAGCTAATAGGCGATCCGGGACGGTTTCGGCAAATACTTACGAATCTCATGGGTAACTCTATCAAGGTAAGTCTATTAGGAGAAATAAAGATGTTATATACCATGAAGTCCTGTCAATTTGGATATAGAGATATGCCCTTACCCTTAATTTTGTGTTTAAGATTGCCTTAAGAGATATGCTCCAGTGATTATAGTGTTGTGGAGTAATTTACATAAATGAGAAAATTTCTAATCAGTGGTTCAGCCAAAAACGATTATCTCTAAAGTAAAAATGAGATGTCTGTTTCTTGAATATGTATCATTAAAACTGATTATGCAATTTTATGGCATGGCAGTTCACAGACAAAGGGCATATCTTTATCACTATCCATGTAGTTGAGGAGGTTATCCACTCAATAGAAGTTGACAAAGAATTAACTTCAAATGATACCCTAAGTGGTTTCGCCGTTGCTGATAGTCGCCGGAGCTGGGAAGGATTTGAGGCTTTCAGTCAAGAGGGACCATTTGGTTCTTCGTCATCAACCTCAAGTGATCTCATCAATTTGATTGTATCTGTTGAGGATACAGGTGAAGGAATTCCTCTAGAATCACAGTCACTCATCTTCACTCCATTCATGCAGGTCGGTCCATCGATCTATCGAAAACATGGGGGAACAGGCATTGGTCTAAGCATTAGCAAGTGTTTGGTTAGGCTAATGAATGGAGAAATTGGATTTGTGAGTGAACCTAAGATTGGGTCCACTTTCACATTTACTGCTGTGTTCACCAATGGATGTCCTAATTCAAGTGAGTGTAAAACCCAGCAAATCAATAACCAATCTCACACTGCATCCTCAGAATTTCAAGGCATGGTTGCATTAGTTATTGATCCCCGACCGGTTCGAGCTGAAGTGTCAAGATATCATGTTCAGAGACTTGGCATTCATGTTGAATTAGTTTCAGATTTATATCAAGGTTTGTCCACCATAGGCAATGGCAATGTATGTATCAATATGGTCCTGATTGAACAGGAGATATGGGATAGGGATTCAGTCATTTCGACTGACTTTGTCAATAGTGCTAGTAAAGTTGACCGTGGTGGTGTTCCTCCTCCAAAACTATTCATTCTTGTCAATTCTAGCAGTTCTATAACATCAGGTGTTCATAATCCAACTGTCATCATAAAACCTTTAAGAGCAAGTATGCTTGCTGCTTCGCTACAACGAGCCATGGGCGTTGGGAACAAGAGGAATCTTCAAACATTATCTCTTCACCATCTTCTTCTTGGCAGGAAAATTCTAATTGTAGATGACAATAGTGTGAACCGCACCGTAGCGGCTGGTGCTTTGAAAAAGTATGGAGCTAGTGTGGTTTGTGCAAGCAGTGGAAAAGATGGCATCTCTTTGCTGAAGCCACCCCATCAGTTTGATGCCTGTTTCATGGATATTCAAATGCCAGAAATGGATGGGTACGTAACTGTTATACCTTCTTCTAAATCTTTACAAGTATGGTTTGAAATTAAATTTGAAATTTCTCCACAAACATACAGAAGAGTTGTTAATCCTTATATTAATTTGTAGGACAGTTTGTCTCAAATGGAAACTAATAAAACTTTTGAATTGCATTGAAGACAATCAATTTATACAATGTTAAGTACTTGGACTCTTAAATTATTGCAACACAACAATGCTACAATTAATTTGACAATTCTAAATTTATATTCATTTAGTTTTAATTTAGATAATTGATATTTCTAAAGATGCACTTATAATTGCTAATATACAATCATTTTCCGACAGTTTTGAGGCTACAATGAGAATTAGGGAGATGGAACGTGGTGTGAACAGAGAAATGTCTGTGGAAGCCTCTGAGAATAGTTCAAAATGGCATATACCAATTTTGGCTATGACTGCAGATGTGATCCAAGCTACACATGAGGTATGCCTAAACTGTGGCATGGATGGATATGTTTCAAAACCATTTGAAGCTGAACAGCTTTATAGAGAAGTTTCGCGGTTTTTCCAATCATCTTGAAATAGAAAATACAGAGCTCATGTAAACCAGATGACTCATGATAATGGAAGCATCCGTGTCGGTTCGTCAGGATAGTTAGAAGTGCATAAATAGATTCAGAAGTCTACTCAAAGTAAGTTCCCTATTTAGGAAATGCATATTATAGCACTTCACTTCAAAGCTTGACTATTTCTTTTAAAGTGACTGAAGAATGTTATATATATATATCATTGGAAAAAAAGTGAGGCAGAGTGAAAAAAATAATACTATTCTAGACTTTAGAAAGAGTCATGTTGTTTGAACATCAAGTTTTGAATATCATCCACACATATATAGATACACAGGGCATATCTTCTCACTTAATCCATTCCCTTTATGTATATATACATGCATACATACATATGACTTACAATTTATCTTCTTTGTATACATGCATTTGGAAATGCTTCAGACAAATAAAGGAACCCGGTATGATGTCCTTATTTTGATGTTAAAGAAAATTCCCCCCCCCCCCCCAAAAAATGATTGATTCTTTCGTTTGTGACCTATTCCATTGTCTTCTTTTTTGGTGTGCTTGAAGATCCTTGGTCTAAAATATTGTTTCTTGTGGCAGGGAGTGTATGTAGGAGCTAAGTTTGATTGGTCAGACTTGAGTTTTAATTGGTTGGGAAGGGTATCAAAAGTCATTGATTATATTCCATGTAAAGTCACTATCATGCATGCTAACTTCAAATTGGAAATGATTGAGGGGAATTTGAAGACCCCAGGTGTATTATATGATACAAGTTCAGGTGTCTAATAATAGTAGTAGTGAAAGTTGCAATAGTCTAGTAAATTTACATTTCTATGTGCATTTATGTATATATGAGATTGATTCAGATGGGTTAGAAAGAAATTAGCTTGATGGTGAGAAAGGTGGCAGAAAGGCACCATACACCATATGAATTACAACAAAGACAAGTAGTTGGAGTGGCCAAGTCAGTTTCTTAATAGTGCCAGATTTCAGCTTTTACAAAACATGTAATTGATACATTGTAATGTATAATATTTGAGTCATCCATCATTTATTGTCTCTTTGTGCATTTAAAGTTGTGGAATTCCTTTGACTTGTTATATATGTTGCCTTCCAACTTTGTTAGTTTTATTTATGTTATAATATATGGTGTACATGTTAGTGTGTGAATAACAGACCAACCTTGTTTAATAATACAAACAGTACACGGTGTACAGCACCATATCACATCCGTGTTAACACAAAATATGAAGGATGAAGGAATGAGCAATGGAAGCTCCAGAATGAAGATGAATCAAGAACCAATTATGTCTTGTGATTTCTATGGAATCTGAATGAATTGAGTTGAATTAGTTTCATATGTCTATAGACTATATCCTAATTATCCAAAAATATCACTAAAATACCCTTGCTAACAAAGATAATTGAGATTGCTTCAATAGTAAGTGTCTGCCCTTGCTGGTGTATCTGGTGCACAAGGTTGGTTTCTAATCGAGCCAACCTGACATGCATGACCGTGCCAAGGTTGGCCTCTAGCTGAGCCAACCTGACCTTCGTGACCGAGGAACCTAGGAGTCTGACTGAGGCATGCGTATCCAATCCGAGCGAGGTGTGCGCGTCTGATGTGTGGTCTCCGGGCGTGTCATGCACATCACTCATCGAGCTAGGTGCATCAACTGTCTCAGTCATGATGTTGATTTCCGAATGAGGTTCCATGACTGTCTTGGCTAATACGTGTGAGGTGGCAAAATAAAATAGAGAGGTGAGTCCACTTGTAATAACATAATAAGAATTGTAAAGATATGAGTTTAATACATAGATGTTATTTTGACAACCAAGATGTGATACTTTTTCATTGTTTTTTGGGTTTTATAGATTTGTTAGTAGTAGAAGTTAAATTTTAGTTGTTCATATGCTTTAGATCGAGAAAATTGTTCGGTTTTCTAAAATCGTGTGTTATTGCTCGAATCCGCAGTCAATCCTATTTTCGATAGGAGTAGTTGACAATTGAATCCAAGTTTTCTCATTATTTTCGTATCCGTGATAGTGTGAAAAGAAAAGAAGGTTCGACTCCAAGTTGTTCAAGAATAGTGGCGCTGAGTTTCTCGACCCTTTTTTTTAGGATTAGTTAGTTAAATTTCTCGATGTGGGACAGAGAAGGAAAGGGTATAACTTAGCGGTAGAGTGTCACCATGACACGATGTAAGTCACCAGTTTAAGCCTGATTACCCCTAAATCTAATGTGAGTTTTTCTATTTTGTTTGATGTCGTGATCAAATGAGAATGGAGAGTGATAAGAGGCTAATGGGATTGACGGATCTATGTTTCTGGGATTAGGAATATTTGATGAAATATTACCTTATGACTATTGCATAACTTGAGTTTGAACATTGGTTTTTCCTATTAGGACAAAATCTATAATCTAGCTAAGGTCTTCATACACAAATAACTCATCTCTTCAATAGAGTCACATCTTCTGTGTCATAGTTTGTACTATTTCATGTACCAATTGCTTTTTATTGGTTAGAAAAGTAAAACATAAATTACATATGAATTAACTTTATATTTTTTGAGCAATAAGAATGAAAGGGTACATGAAATAGTACAAATATAAATGACAATGTTTTATTCCCTTACCTCGTGGAGTGGATTGCAATTCCTTTGAGAAGAAGTAATGAAATTCCAAGGTCCAACCAAATTTGTAAACACAAGTCACTAAAATTCCTTTCTTCAAAATCACATATCATATTCAGATCAAGTATAAGCAGCTTGTCGAGAATTAGCATATGAAGCAAGTTATTCTTAATCCAAATCGAATGACAAGAACCACATGCAAAGTCACAATGAGTGACATTACCTTAATAATTTACAACCTACAAATACTGTTACATTTAACAACACACATAGTCATACATACACATTTTTGCTGTTCCATTTGTTGTCTGAGATTTAGAACACAAAAATGTCATCAGATTGGGGGCCAGTAGTTGTTTCTGTAGTGTTGTTTGTGCTATTAACACCGGGGCTCCTATTTCAGGTACACATATAATATTGTTTTTTAAAGGGAAAGAATAAGATATATGATTTATTAATAATATTGGATAATGATGTATATAAAACATGATTGATTCAGGTACCTGGTCGATCAAGGTGTGTGGAGTTTGGTAACTTTGAGACAAGTGCTGCTGCTATACTCATTCATTCTCTCCTCTACTTTGGTCTCGTCTGTGTTTTTTTGATCGCCGTTAGAGTCCATTTTTACACCGGTTAATGCATCATGCTAATAATTATGGATTCAATATCATACAATTTTAATTTGATGTTGTATTTTTCTATTGATACCAGTTTGAATGAATGTTAGTACCCAAGTGAAGTCTTTCATCAAAACTAGTGCAATTGTTTTTACTCTCAAATGAAAGCTCCTTCATTAGAAGACAAAGTTATTCAAAGTCACAATGAGTATGAACTAAACAATATAAACAGATTATAACACACAATGATCATACAAAGTATTCTAATCTCTCATAACCACACAACCATCATGGTTCCGCTACTTTATAATATATAATGCCATAAAATGGAAGGGAAATGAAGCAATGAACCATACACCCTAGACACAATCCACGCACTCTCACCTTATGTGGTTATGTGCTTCTCACTGCGACCACCCACTACATCACTAACTCTGTATTATTACTATCTTATGTCTCACCGTTTTAATTATGCCTTGCACTCAACTTGTTTGAAGAAAGTTCACACTTAAAATGGGCTTTGTTAGTTGGGTGTTAAGTGCCATAACCTTCAACTTGTAAGGAATAGAGGGAAGCTCTTTTATTTATACGTGAAATTAAGAATCCATCATTGCCTATGGTTTCCATCCTCAAATTTCGTAGCATCTTCTCTACACGCCCATACGGTGCCGTAAGATATTGTCATTTTGGATCCGAACGTCTGAAATTGCCACCAAGGGTGGGGCTTTTTTGGGACTTAGACAACAAACCACCCAACTCAATTCCACCTTATGAAGTAGCCAATAAACTGAGAGTAGCCGCTTCCTCCTTTGGGGTTGTCAGACACATGATCGCTTATGCAAATAGCCACACTTGTAGCCATGTCCCACTCCCTGTCCGGGAAAGGAAGAAGGAGAGGGAACTCTTGAATCAATTAGAGAACAAGGGTGTTATCAAGCGGAATGAACCTTATCTTTGTCGGGTTTGTGGGAGAAAATTTCATACCAATGATAAGCTTGTTAACCATTTCAAGCAACTGCATGAGCGCGAGCATGCGAAAAGAGTGAATCAAATAGAGTCGGCGAAAGGGAGCAGGAGGGTGAAGCTGGTGGGTAAGTATTCGATGAAAATGGAAAAGTATAAGAAGGCTGCAAGGACTGTTTTGACTCCAAAAGTGGGGTATGGTTTGGCGGATGAGCTGAAACGGGCAGGGTTTTGGGTTCAGACTGTGTTAGATAAGCCACAAGCTTCAGATCGTGCATTGAAAAGTCAGATGGTGGATATGATGGATCATAGGCGGATTGAGTGTCTGGTGCTCGTATCAGATGATTCTGATTTTATCAATGTGATAAAGGAAGCAAAACTACGATGTCTGAAGACGGTTGTCATTGGGGATACTCCTGATGGAGAGTTGAAGAGGACTGCAGATGCTGCCTTCTCTTGGGTGGAGATTCTGATGGGGAAGGCTAAAAAGGAGGCTGTTTCAGTTGTGGAAAATTGGAAGGATCGTGATATTTTAAAGAGGTTAGAATGGACATACAATCCAGATAATATGGTTACTGAAGACGAGAATATTGAAGATATTTGTGATCAAGTTGACGATGCCTATAAGGATGATGGAGGTGCTTGGTGGGAACTAGATTCTGACCATGTTGACATAAATAATCAGCCACACAAAGCATCCAGTTTATCTGTGACTAGATGAAGCTCATTTGACCTTCTTCTTGGCAACTTTTGTGTGCAGAAATAATATGTTTTGGTCATCAAATTTGTGAGGTCCACATGGATATCAGTGATAACTTTGAAAACAAATGAGTAATAATCGAGTTATACTTTTAGGCAAGCAAGTAGTAAAGATGCCGGAAATCTGCCAAATTTGAGTATGGTGTAATCAGTCCCAATCCAGCTCTAGCAATGGGAACTTCTCAATCTCTATACCTCTTTTAATTCTCTATCTCATTTTGTTATTTTTGCTTAAAATTAGTTAGCAGATCTTTATAGGTAGTGGTGAAATGTTGTAATGTGGTGAACCTACTTGCTTATTGTGTTTCATACATTGGAATATTGTTTTAAGATCAGTCATTTTTATTTTAACATTGTCACTTAGTTATGGTTGGATGGCTGTGGTAATTTTAGTACCAACTTGATTATCTCTTTTTGTCTTCATTATCCTTTAGTTATTGGGAGGTACCACTATTTTTGTTCTGTACCCCAAACATTGTAGACTACCTTGTCAAATCCAACAGACATGAGGTACTGATGCTAGGCCAGGTATAGAATCGACCTCGTTGGTTAAATGGACTATCTTTAATTATTGAAATATTTCATATGGGACCAACTAAATAAACCGTGTGTTTTACATGACCCACCCTATATATTACAATGTAAAAGGTGGGTGTTTTTCCAAAAATTGATTGAGAGAGTAACAGAATTTCCATTTTGAAAAACGCTGACCCCTTTCCTTTCTCTTTCTCTCTCAATTCCCAATTCTCAACAACAAACGAAAGGGGTCACCTCATTTTCTCTGAATTCTCAATTCTTAAAAAAACAAAACAAAACGATGTCGTCTGAGATGGGTAACACAGATCCAGAAGGCCTGGACGGAATTCGCATGACATGGAACGTATGGCCACGCTCCAAAGTAGAATCCTCGAAGTGCGTTATCCCACTCGCCGCAACAATCTCCTTAATCAAACCTCACCCAGATATCCCACGTCTCCCCTACGCGCCACTCCGTTGCAAAACATGCTCTTCACCACTCAACCCTTTCTCGCGCGTCGACTTCACTGCCAATATCTGGATTTGCCCCTTCTGTTACCAGCGCAACCATTTCCCTCCTCATTACAGCGCCATCTCCCAAACCAACCTCCCCGGTGAACTCTATCCTCACTACACCACCGTTGAATATGTCAATCCAATTTCAAATTCTTTCCATCAATTTCCATCTAATCATTTCACTTCCCCGGTTTTTTTGTTCCTCCTTGATACTTGTATCATTCATGAGGAGATGGACTTTGTTAAATCGGCGCTTCGCCGTGCCATTGGCCTCTTGCCTGATAATGCACTTGTTGGGTTTCTTTCCTTTGGGACGCAGGTCCAGGTTCATCAGCTGGGGTTCTCTGATATGTCTAAAGTTTATGTTTTTCGCGGTTCCAAGGAAATTCCAAAGGAACAGGTTTTGGACCAGTTGGGGCTCGGTGGTAGTGGTGCTTTAGGGAGGAGACTTGGTGGTGTTGGTCCCTGTGGTGGATACCAGAAAGGAGGGGAGCAGGCTGCTACTGGTGGTGGTTTTCCGGGTTCGGCGGTTACAAGGTTTTTGTTGCCTGCGTCTGATTGTGAATACACTCTCAATGCGGTTAGTTGTTCATTTGAATTTTGAGAATTTCATTGTTGTCTGATAGTTTTTAATAGGACATGGCATAGGGATGTACAATATAGTGCAAAATTAATATAAAATTGGGAATGCACTCTCAATATATATTTTAATTTTGAGAATTTTTATAGTACCTGAGAGGTATGAGTTGTCGAACATTCATTGAATATTGTTTTCATGACAGACAGGTAGCTATAAAAGCTTTGATATATTGATGCTGGAAACTTTTCAAATTTCTAGGACAGGATATAGGGATGCACAATATAGTGATAAATTAATATAAAAATGGGGAATGCTGTCTCAATGTGGTTGGTCGTTATTTATATTTTGGGAGTTTCTATGATACCTGATAGGTGTAACTGTGTAAGTTGTCAAACATTCATTGAATATTTTTTTTCATGATAAATGGGTAGCTAGAAAGTACAGATACATATATGATACAACTGCGAATACACTCTCTATTTGGTTAGTGATCATTTGAATTTTTGGAACTTTTATGGTATACCTGATAGGTCTGTCTTGTACGAGTCGTGAAGTATTCATTGAATGTTTTGTTGTTTTCATGATAGATGGGTACTTACAAATCATGGATACATAGGGACATAAGTACCATATATAGGGCGACACAATT